AGCTTTTTTTTTAGCTACATGTGGAAGAGAGGGCAGTGGACTCAGGGCAGGTCACGGAGGCAGAAAACGGACAGAAACCAACTTTCCCTGTGAAATCTGATGGACCACAATAGGTACAGGAGCTCATGCCTATTTTAAAATGTGGGAACATGGTTAAGCAGAGCAGAGTCTGCCCTCCTGCTTGCTTGATCCCAAACAATTTGCTTCCCTTTCCTGGAGGAGTGGAGATGCCTCTCTGGAGAGTGCTGCTCCCGGCTCTGAATGCAAATCTATCTGCAATAACGAGCAGCTCTGGGGACTCACAGAAAGGGATGTACTGAGGCGTGGAGTGGGTGGGAAAGCTGGAAGCAAGTGCCAGTCCCGGTTTGCATGGGAAGCTCTGTGCCCTACGAGAACAGCCTGGTCCAGGGGGGAGACAGGGTGGCTTTTTCGGTGGGGACCTGAAAAGCAAAGACGTTTGTGCAGATGCATGGCCAACCCAGGGCTCAACAGGGCAGTGCTTATGGTAGTGGATACCCTGAGTTATTTTAAAAAGAGCATGAATAAGCATACCATTAGCTTAAAATCAAGGTGGGGTTTTTTTTTTTTTTACTGATACTGGCAATGTACATCATAACAGCCTTTTTCTGCTGTAGGGATGTGATTAGATGTGTCAGTCAACTTACCCTCTTAACAGTATTTTTTAGTTCCCTTTTTCACCTTGGCTGCTGTATTGTGCCCGCAGCCCAGTAACCCACCTGCCCTCTCCCTGCCATGCAGTTCTTAATGCTGTATGCATGCGGATTTCCATTCTCTAAATTCTTTATAGAAATTCCTATTCAATTTGATAATTCATATCCTCATTAATCTAGCCTATTTTATAGCCATTAAATTCACTGACAAGGAACACGTTACTTTGGAGACAGCTCCTGTACAATATCTCGTACTACAGATAGGTATTACAGACAGGTGCTGCATTTCATATAATGAACAAATGTCTGTGAAGTCTCCACGAATCTTATTGCAAATCTGAGGTTTGAAAATCTTGGCCACAATAACTTCAACTTTTAAAAGTCACTATAAATCCTGCTTTTATTCATTTTTCCCCTCAACGATCATCTTTCTACCTACCAGCTGATGCTTTTGCTTGGTCAGCTCTGCTCAGAGAGGTCTCTCCCCGCAGGTTGTCTCACCCATCCCACTCCGAGTGCCCCCGGCATCACAGCAAGGAAGAAAAGCTGCAAGGAACCAACACCTTGTTATGTCTTTAGGTGGCTTTTTGATGATTGTGTGAGGCTTTCCATTTCTCATGTGAGACTTGTTTTGCTTGAAAATTATTTTTCAGATGTTTCCAGTGGCCTTGACATCTCTTCTGTCTAATCCAGTGGCACAGCCTCACCCCTGCATTGTGTCTGTTGTTTGGGATACATTTCTCATTCTCTTCCCAATCATTTAACTCTCTACCCTCTGTACGAGTGGCAGTTAAATCTTCATTTGACCTGTGCTTGTGTTGAGGACTCTGTGCAGTTTTTGAAAGGCATCACATCCTAGGAATCCCAATGGATTTGGGTGACACTTGAGTAGTTTAAGTACAAGCTGTCTTACGGGGATTTGTCAGCTGGTGTGTTGCTAAGGCTTTGCCAGCTGGGGTCCAAATGCTGTGCCTGATTTACCGGCAATAAAGCCCATTGCACCGGCCTTCATCTTTCTTGGAGAGAGCCTTAAAGTGAAAGAGAGAGTGGGAGAGGAGTAGCTGCTTCTATCGGTCTCCCCTCTGTCATTAGAGGTGGAGGGACCATGTGCTGCCTTCATGATGCCGATGCTCTCCGCTTTAACTGGCTCTGTGTTCGGCACTGCGTGTCTTTATGCAGCTGACAAATTATACGACAGGTTACAGATTATTCTAATCTGCTCTGCTACTCTTCTGGAATAAGCTGAAAAGGGAGCGTTTACCATATGTGTTGTGTTATTCTAACTACCATATCCAACCTTGTTTATCTGTTGCCTTCACACCTCATGATTTTCTGTGATTCAAAACTGATTTACTGTTAACTGTTTACAGTGATTTGAACAAGAGAGGCTTGAAAAAGAGACAGGAAAAAGGTTTAATTGCTGATTTCCCGTGTTCTCCTGGGGCTGGTTCTGTAGGATTCCCATTCAAGTGGTTAAGGAGAGAAGCAAATGGCCCGTGTAAGCAGACTTGTTTCCTGGCTATCTCAGCAATTGCCCTTGACACAAGTCGACAGCATTGGATGTCCCAACCTTCAGCCTTTCCTATCCCATTTTTTTCTTCCTGCAGTATAGATAGACAAGAGGGATGAGTCATGTTTGAGCTCTAGCTTTAGAGACTTGAAAGGTTTTTGTGCAGGGCGTTGCATTGCCAATGTTTGGTTTCCTTTTTGTACTTCTGTTACTGTTACAGGAAGCATTTTACCCTGTAGGTGATATCATCCCACATCTTCCTCCATAAGATCTTGTGAAAAATTTACATAAATAGACTTTGCCTTAGCGGTCAGGCATTGCCTCCTTAGAAACCTGGAAGGGCTGGCTGCTCCTTAGCTCTGTGCCGGCAGGATGGGGAATAGCGTGTGCAGCCTGTGCACGAAAGGGCGTTCGTTGGTTTTGCAATGAGTCATGAAGCCTAATTTAACGAATTCACGCTTAGTAATGTGACAACTGTGATGATGGGGTATGGAGCGGGGGAACAGCTAAGGGACGTGTTAAATCACATGGAGAAAAGCAGATCTTGGCTGGAGATAACCATGTTGGCTTTCACCCATTCTGATGAAATGAAAGCTGTGTTGACCTGTCTTACTTGTTCAACACCTAGATTCATAGTTGGTGAATCAGTACAGTAGATGTGGAGTTGATGAAGTAATTCACAGTTACATTTGAAGACCTCCAAAAGAGGAGGGGACAAGGGTAGTGTGGATGAATGACACCCAGTCTTGTGTCTGGTACTGGTGCTTTCTCTCCTGTATGCTCTACCATTTGATTTATGAGATTTTGCAGGCAGTCTCTAAAGTGAGTGAAGGGTTGGGGCAGATGTGGCCTAGAGCAGTAATTTCTCTTTCTCTGCATGACTGCCTGCCTGTCTGTTAAGGGTTTTGTATTCTCTAAAGTCAGAATTGAGCAGCAAGCAATTGATCTAGCTGGAGATGTGAGTTGGTCAGCTTATGGAAAGCAGAGCTAGGGGACAGGAAGGGTAAGCTTCTGTACCCCTTTTTCATCCACGCTGGTAAAACTGCTGCTGCAGTGGTTGTTGTTTTTCTCATCTGCTCATTGTGGATCAGCGATTCTGGATTGAAAAATTCTAATGCTGGGCCTAAATTTGAGGTTAATAATTTAGCTTGTTATCTTTATGCTGCTACTGGGATGCCTTGTTGTCTTAATGAAGTTGCACAAATGCTGTGTATCTTGACTGCCCAATGAGAAGAATGATACCCCTGTAAACTTCTTAGGGATCTGTAAAGGAAATGCAGAATTACTATCATCTGTTGCGTCTTTGACTTTATAATTTCAGTCTAGGTTTCCTGCTTCACCCATAATCAGGTACAGATATAATCAGATTCACAAGGAGTAGCTTTCTTGCTCTTTGTGTAAGTTTGATCCCACCCCTGGGTTCAACACTCGCTCGCTGACACCATGCTAGTTTGGAAACCACTCATCACTGGAAGTAGCCAGACTGCAACGTGCTTGGGCACAGGGCACATTTTCTCTCTCTAAATACCCTGTAGTTATGGCTCCAGCAACTACAAAGGGGTGTTACCCAGATGTGGCTTTGCCATACGTAGGTATAGCAGAGTGGAGTGTAAAACCTGATGTGGTATTGAAGAGTACTATTGCCCTGCAGAAGATTTTTCATGTTTCCTGGTCAAATGTTCCTACAGGGGCCTTCTATGTACTTTGCAACCAGCAACAGCTCATAGGAAGAGTAGAGCGTGCTGAGGCAGTGTGTGCACGCAGCCTGGGAGAAAAGCACATACAGGGTTTTAAATAGCTTACGAAAATATTTGTCACCAGTACAACATGATGCTTCTCAAACTGGATTATGATAGGAGGCTAAAAGTTTGTTGTGTTTTATTTTTTTTTTAAATAGCTTGTTTTAAGTAGATTCAATGCAAAATTAAGTAGAGGCAGAAAAGAAATTAAGCTCTTTGACAGTTATGTTTTAGAAATTCTTTGGTGCATCCCAAACCAGAGAAATTAACCTCTTCTTGGCAATGGTTAACAAGAAACTGTTGGTACTTCTTTTTACTAGATGTGGGGAAAGTAGTTTGAAGCTGCATTTACTTTCTTCAGTCGCTGGTGGAAAAAAACGGTGCTTTTTTCTGGTTAACTTTTTAATTTCGTGTTCCTGTCTTCATGTCTGTTTTGTCTTTTTGCCGTGCTTTTTTGGTGCAGCTTTTAAAGTTTAAGCGACTCAAGGAAGAAATGCTTGGTCAAATTCTGTCCTCAGTTACTTGGGGGAAAAAAAGTCAGAAAAATATATTGACTTTGCTGATATAAAGCTGGATGTTTATTGAAGTAACCCACCAGCAAACCAATAGAACTTTATCCTGTTCTCTTTGTTCATTTGCAAATTGACTTGCCTAGTTATGAGGCTACGTAAGTACAATATAGTAGGTTGTTTTCAATTGCTTTTAATTCAGGGCAGAGGATCCAGCACCTGCCAAAGTAGGGTGACCAAAGCAGTGCTTGTCTTTTGGTGAAAAGGTCAAAACAAAAGTGTGGTGTAAAGCCTAAAAATGAGCCTCAAATAATAAATAATAAATAAATTCTGTCTCTACAAAATTATCCTTTCTCTACATCCAAATGTTTGGCTGCACTGACACCTCCAAGCAGATCCTTAAACTCAAGAGCAGATGTTTTAATGCTCTTACATTCGCTTTGTCAGTATGACGCGTCAACAGTGAGTTGCAGCCCTGCATTTACATGGCAAGCACCGGTCTGCTTTGGGCTGGTGACTTGCTCTTTGACCTCATTCTTCCTTTGAAGCTGCTGCGGCAGTGTGTGCTTGCGAGCCGTGCCGAGGCACCGCGTCCCTCAGCCCTGTGCCTGTTTGCCTTGTAATCCACAGACAAGAAAAAAGCAGGCAAATTCCAACCTTTCAAGAAGCTCTTTGGTAAGAGGAAGAAAAGAGAGCCCACGTCAGACTGCGAGGAAGCCAAACTGAAGCCCAGCCACTCCTTCGGCAACGTCTGCAACGGCACCTTCTCCTCCGATGAAGAGCCAAACGGTGGTCTGAGGTAAGCTCTCACGGGTCTGCTGCCAGCCCGTGCAAACACAAGGCTTGTTCTCCCTGCTTTTAATGGAATTAAATTTAAATTCTCCCTCTGCCGAGTGGTAGCAAGTTGTACACTGCTTGTTAGGAAGCATATGCATCTCTGTCCCTCCTGTGAACGTGACACCCGCTGCTGCAGACCCAGAGGTCTCACTTCTTGCACGTGTTTCTTATTGGGTACATGTGCCGGTCTGCAAAAAAGAAATCCCAGGGTGAAGCAGAAATGAATTTGAATCTGGCTCCGTGATTTACTAGAACTCCATGGCAAACACCTGAGCAGAGGTATTAATGGCATCTGTGTTTTTAATACTGGGGAAAGGGAAACTTGAACTGGCTGCTACAGATACTTTATTGCATGCTTTTCCCTGCAAGGTGCTATCTCTGGGTCAGGACGGAGACATCCTCTTTCAGTCTATCCTGTTCAGTTTTTGCCTTGTAATTGGGGTCAACAAACAGGATGCTTTTATTCTGATCCGAATTGAATGTAGAGCAGAAGAAGGAAGACAGGGGAGAGAGGCACCAGGAAATCAGATCGTATTCCAGTGACAAGAGAGGACAGGAGGAGAGCATGAGAATTTGCTGCAGAAATGATGGGCGAAAAACTGCACAGAGTTAACTAGTCAGCAATATCTAACTAGGAACAGAACAGGAAAAAAACTCCAAACCAAACCAAAACAAAAAAACCCCACCCCAACAACAAAAAAGAGCAAGACCAGATGCACAAACTAATTGGGTCAGTAATACTTATTTCACTTTCCAACTGAAAGTCTCAGAGAGGTTAGTTGACTTTGGCCACAAAGCCTGCTTCTTTGGAAAAAAAGGAACTGTTTGCACTGGGGAGTGTGAAAGTAACAAAAAATCTGAGAGGATCAAAAAAACATACCAAATTTCCCTGCTCAAGAAAGAAACATCACTCTGCACAGTATTTTCAGTGGTGCAAATTCATAGTTGTAAAAATGTGGTGTTTTGGGTTTTTTTTTTTAAGCTTCTGGATTGTTTTGTTCCATTCTGTGAAATTCTCTAAGTTCTAGGTTTCCCCTTTGGTTTCTGCAATGCAATATTGTGCACCTCTTCTGCCTCTCCCAGCTTTTCAGAAAGTCAAGACTGAGCATAGCCACGGTGTAGGTGGAGACGTGACTGACTCCTGTTGCATTGCACTACCTGTGTGCATGATGCCGAGCGACTGTAGGAAGTTACAGTAGCTTTTGCCTCAGGAGCAAACTAGTGAACAAGAGCAAAACAAAGGGATCTCGCTATCAGGGATTTCCCATTCAGTGTAACTGAAAATGCAGTGCTGTGCCCAGAAACAAACAGTGATATGGGAACTTGTCCCATTTGTCAACGGTGAAGGGAAGGTGTGGCAGACCCTTGTGAGACTGCTAAATGCTTGCATTTTTAAACATATTAATTTTTCTAATTAATAAAGGCATTAAACGTAAGTCTCTAGTGGAATAAACTAGACTGCAGAATTTAAATCACAAGGGATTAGCAAATGTGAAGGGTCCCACGACTCATTTCAAGTGGAACATTTCTTTCTGCGCTTGTGATTTGTGAGAGGTGCTTCTGTTTTAGCCTGCTAGAAATACTCAGTCAAAACTCTGTTTTCCCGGTCGGGCTTCATGGTGCAAATTTGGATGGGATTTGATAATAATTTTCAGTTTGCAGGTAGTGTTTGCCACATTACTCGTCTTACAACAAGCATAGATGTTCAGTGCAGTGCATTAGATTGCTTTGGGGAGCATAGCTTTGCCACCCTTTTCTGTTTTCAGCAGCGTTGCTTCCATCCGTTACACTTTTTTTGCCTTTAGTATAATTTCAAATGTTTATGAATTGAATGCAGACATAAGCTGTCTAAGTAAAATAATATATGCAGTTGTTTATAAGTTGTCTAACAGTAAATACATTACCATACCTTCCATTATTCATGTAGAAATGGACCAGAGCAAATATAAATAACTAGTAGTATATTTATGTAACCAAAATCTTGAGTCGTTTTATAAAACCGTCTGCTTCAAACTCTTTAAGAATATACAACAACTGTATATATACAAAAGCTTAATAAAAGTTCCAGTTTTGCAATGAAAGTTCAGGGATTTTCCCGTTCCCTTGGTAGAGCTATATTTCTTCATTAATCTGTAAAGTACATTAATTTGTTATCTGCAGATGGTTCATGTGGACTTTTGTTTTGGGGAGGGGGAGGTTATTATTTTGAAAAGATATTAAGGAAGAAAGCTGCTTCAGGAAGGTAGAGACAAGAAAATAAATGCGTATAAGGCTAAATAAGAGATCTGTATTGCTTCCAAGACCTAAGCTAGTATTTCACTGCGTGGTGTATTGGCTTACAAGCCTGCTCGGAGCTAATGCCTGAACCTCTAATAGAGACTGAGCCGACTGGGTGATGCAGACGTACCAGGAGCAATTTAGGTAATCTGCATATGGTGTAGATTGACTAGCTGAGTTGGAAGCAGCCTGAGAGATCTTCCTGTCCATCCTTTCTTACAGCTACTTCCTGGACTCATCAGATGCAAATAACTTGCTTGGTATCCTGGTGTGTGCACACTTCAACCTGTTTATTCATCCATGTTGTTTTGCAGTTCCCAGGTTTGCAATTTGTCTTGCCCTGCCTTGTGAAAGACTGGAATTCCTTTTTCCACTTTTATATTGCCCTTCTCGAGTTTACAAAGTTAAAACTGTATTCATTAACTTTCTGTCCTAACCGTATGAGCTGGGAGATAGAAGTGCTTATTACAAGACAAGGTAAATTACATTTGTGGAGCTTCACTAAATTCTCCAGAAGCTTCTGTTCTGAGGCTATGATTTGGCACTTTATAAGATTCTGTATTTGTCTTATTTGTCACAGTTGACACTAAGCAAGCATTGTGAGGAAATACATGAACGGGCACCTGCGTGGTGCCCTACGAAAAATTTGTCATTCTGGGCTGATGTGCAGAGGCAGCAGGGAGTTACATTTTTCTTATACAGGGTACCTTTTGCTTTTCTTATACAGAGTGCCTGTACTTGGGCTGAACGCAATATTTCAAAGGACCTGGAAGTAGATCTGTCAGGTCTTTAAGACTCAAGTATGACAACTTTGATCTTCTTCCAGGGAAAAGTCTTGGCAACATTCAGTCTCTTGAATGTGTCTGTCCATGAAGTGGGACCGCTTTATTTGTAAATCCCCATCAAGTTCTGCATAATCCCTGTAAAACTGTTCTCAGGTCGCCTACATGAAGTCATCCTCATTATGAAGAAATCAGCTAAAGATCTTAGTTCTCTATATATGCTGAGGAAGACTGCCTGTGAAGAAGAAAGCATGAGAGATTTCCTGTCTTGTAAACGACTTTGCCCAGTATTTGCTGAACCTTTGTCAGCATGAATTGCTATTGGGAGTGGACCGCGAATCACCCAGCTCTTTGCCTAGTAGAGCTGTGCTAAACTGTACAGCGGTTACTACTCAGCTAATGAATCCAGCTTCTTTTCTGCTTGTGGGGACCACGTGCATGAGCAGTGTGATTTCTGCAAATGTGTTAGTTCTTTGAAAATGCCTCATTTTGGCAAGCAAAGTTGCTATTTGCTATTCAAGCTGTACCCTTGTTGCACTTGATCAGATAATTCAGGGAGATGGTATAATTGCACTGATTTCTTCTACAATGATTGTAGAAGCCAAATGAATTCCCTTGCAAATATAAAGTTTGGTTTCTGTCAATTTTACCAGCAGAACTTCAAAATTATCTTTCCTTGACAATTGTCCTGACGTCTTGCCAGGAAACTTCAACTCTAGAAATGTAAACTGAGCATATACAGAGCTGAAGGAAAATCTTTTAGTACTTTTTGTAATATTTGCCCAGTGTCTGCACTCAAAGACAGACTTTGCATGGATTTAAGGCAAGTATTTTGCACAGTTCTCCTCACTAGGCTATATAGGTAAGCAAAATAGGCAATAAAGTGTTTATGGACCAAAGCTGGGGCAAGGAGCACGGTGTGTTCCCAAGCTGCATCAGGAGTTTTATTGCTTGTGATGGGAAGTTCCTGGGGGGGAGGCCCCAGGGTGACAAACCGGGACGCAGTGCCAAAGATGCAGCACAAGCAAGGTCATGCATCTATATGGAGCTGCAAGTTGTGTGAGCGGCTGTCTCCTTGTAAGAACTGACATCTCCTGAATATCTCCGGGCAGTCCACCTGCCAACACCAAGAGTGAATCTTTCCATTTGAAAAGAGCAGGAGGACGACTGGGGAGAGGAGGAAGAAAAAAGCATTTCATTTTCATCTTAAGAGGCCTTCATTTAGTAATTTGCTAAAGGTAATTTTTGTCAGAGGCTGGGTGGGTTGGGCTGTTTCACTGGTGCTTTACACCTGAGTCCAAAAGCCACAGACAATCTGAACGTGGAAAGGAGACGGTGGTTTCGTACCAGCCATCAGCGTTTATAGTGCAAATTTGGCTTCTCTCTGCTTAAGAGAGGCCAAGGGCAGTGGTGGAAAGAATGTCAGTGACGCATAGACAGGGCTTCCATGGAATGGGGCACCCGCGTAACACATTTCTTGGAGGATACTTGGCCACTACTGGCCTTCCTTGAAGTATTTTTTAGAGGGAAAATAATGCGATCAAGATTTGATCAGTCAGTTGAGTTGTGGTTTCGGCAATAAATTCCAGACAGCTGTTATTGTTTATGTAAGAGGTATTTGACCTGTAAAGTATAAATTTTAATTTTACATTAATTTTGAATTCTGTGCCTGAATGGCCACAAAGGGCACAAGCACAAATTTTCAGGCAGAAAAAAGATAGGAGGTATAGCTATCAACATGGCTAAGTCATGATCTCTTTAACGCGCTGAAATTTGAGAAAGAAACCTACAGAAAGTGGAAACAAATGATGAATCGCAGAGGAATGTAAAGGAGAAGGAGGAGTAATTTTATGAATTCTTTACTGATAGGAGGAGGTCTAAGCAAAGAGTTGGTCCTCTGTAA